CCCCATATCTAGCGAAAAGTATATGAAATTGGGTTTAACTTCTGCTCTTCTGCCATAACTGGATTATGATGACGGGCACACGCCATGCAATGTGCTGTGACAGGCCATTTTGCCTGGAGAGCGTCGTTTCCGCCTACTCTTTTTCGAAATCCTCCGAATTTTACGCCGAGGTTTCCCGTTGTCAGGGGTGCAGTACAGAGGGCCCGACAAGCGTCTAGTTGTTTGGATAGTACGAAAAACCCGAGGCGTGCACGTGGAATTGGCCGTAGCACACTTCATTAACTATGTTGAGGAGAAAAGTAGGACGTTAAAACCCCCATGTTATCGACATCTTGATTGTACTATATGCATGCCATTTTCCTGTTGCAAAGCAGAGATGAAACACCCATTTTAAAAAGAGTATAAGAAAGCTTATTAAACCCATACGTTTATTTGTCACGGCTTTCCTGAACTTATGAGCATTTTGGCGCCAAATCAGTAGTTTCAATAAAGATGAAGGATTCTTATTGGACAGTGGTTCTTCAATAGTTAATCTCCCACTCCACAGAAACAAAATTGACAAAGTGAAAAGTTATTTTAATTGTAAATGCTGAATTTGGAGAAATATGTGTGAAAGAAACTAATTAAAGCAAATATTTGAATTTTAGTTGTATTTAGCATTGTAAAAATAAACATTTTTAGAGTTATAGTCTGTTTCAATCATCGTATGAACACTTTTAATCCATGATCTAATTCACAAACTGATGTTTCGTTTACATGCAATTTTGTAGTTAACACTTTACTATGATGAACATTGTTTATAATAAATGGTTAAATAACTGCAAGTACTGCAAGTTCAAATTTTATGTCATTCAAATATGGTTAATGCACAAGTTAACGTTCAATTCATTCCAAATTCTCGAGGTACCCAAAGCCTAGTTTATGATAATCACAAGTTTCGAGTTAAAGACCATAAGAAGAGATACCGTTCATTGTAAGTGTACTGTTCGCGAATGCATGCTACTGTAATTACTAGGGATAGTCTTACCACTACCTACAGAAACATCCATAATCATCCAGCTGATCTCACCAAGTTGAAATTAGATATGTTTTATCTACTATGAAAGAAGCGGTTAACGTGGATTCTAAACCATTGACAGCTATATACCAAGAAGAAATCAACAGTTAGTAGTAGAAATAATAGATATTATAAATTATATATTTTTTAAAAATTATTTTGAACTCATATACCATGATACCTTTACTGTAGAATCAATGCATGCTAATTTAATTATTCATTAGATATATGATAATATGTGAATTTGAATAAATTTTATAATATTGTCGTTTTCATTGTAGAGTTAAGAGTGTCGGAAGTAGATGACTACACCAAGGCCGTTCCAACCTTTTACAGTACACATTCAAGTTTATATCTTGCCAAATCCAAGAATTTTCCAACCATATATCCCTGCATCCACGTTTTCAGGAAACTACAAATGGTGACAGCTTCCTGCTTCACGCTAAAGACCAGAATAAGATGCTAGTATTGCCAGATAAATGACAGACTACATGTCAACGACTATTCCAGATTCTGAAAGGGAACGCCAATTTGTTGAATATGAGTCTACGACCTACTACCATTTTCACAGACTATGAAGTAGCGGCGCAGAATGCAGCCCGTTTAGAATTTGATTGTAACCTTAAGGGATGTATGTTCCACTTCCGGCAGGCTATTTTGGAGAAATGCCCAGAAACATGGTTTGCAGAAACTATATGGTGAGAATGATTCTGTGACCTGTTTTTTTTAAACGAGCTGTCGTATTAGCCCTAATTAAACCTGATGATGTTAAAGACTTTTGGTTCCATGCCCTAGAAAATGTCGATATGGATAATTCCGGCGTTCCGGCAGATTATACAAGAGAGCAGTGGGTTGAAGGAGTGGAACCATTTTTTATACTGATGGCCAAAAGAACAACCAACAACGCCAAGGGCTGGCTTTCAAAATTAAACAAAGTATCTTCCAACCACACTAATATTTACAGATTTATAGAAGTACTAAAATCATAACCGAATTACATAGAAGTACAGATTCTACAACTTGGAAATGGTGGTTTGTTAAGACCAAAGAAAAGAAAATACATACAGTTAGATAGAAGAATAAAGGAATAAAAAAGAATATGGAGATGTCATTTCCCATCTAGATGGATTTTAGATATTTTTGTTGATTTTTGTAAAGTTGAATATGTGGATTTTTCCAATAAAATAATTGTTAATACGATATAGACTATAGATTATAACCCTATCGTTCCTCTATGGTTGATTTTATCTGAAAACAATAAATGCAGGCAAAGTGGATACAAACCGTATTCTTCAACATAGTTGGGATGGTAGAAGATCTTTTCGAATCTCAGTTATTTTGCTAATAATAACTGGCTAAATGAGCTGCATTTTCATGTTAAGGAAATATTGTTTTGCCGAAATCAGTATCAATTTAAGAGTTGTAGGGCTGTTTTTTTATTATTGGAATTGCTTTCAATTTTACTTTGGTATGAATGTTTGGCTTCTATTATAAGATTATTTACCCTGGTGTTCTGACTTTTGTAGATCCAAGTGTTCCTTTCGACCTTTCGAACAAGCTGATGTCTATTGCTTTATGTGTAATACAATATCATTTGGGATCTAAATTTTAATATTGTATTCTGGATTCATATTTTACTTGTAACTCATTTTAGACATATTAAGTGACGGATTAATTGTAAGATTTAATCTGTATCAGGTGTGGGGTTATGACATAGTATTATGTAAGATGTAATGGGCTGTACAAACTTGTATACTCGGGGGAGCCACGATGGCTAGGTGGTTAAGACGCTGGCTCGCTAGCCTGGAGGTCGGGTGTTCGATCCCTGCATTGGCCGAGAAATTTCATCTGATTTTCCGACGTGGTTTCCCCTTGTCAGTGGTGCAGAACGGAGGGCCTGACAAGGACAGTTGTCTAGTCTTTCGGATGGGACGAAGAAACGAGGTCCCGTGTATACATTGGAATGCACGTAAAAGATCCAGTGGCAGTTGGAATTCGATATAAGAGTAGGCGATAGTGCCGGCGCCCGGGCAAAATTTCCCTCATAGCACACTGTATGGCGTATGCCCGTCTTCATTAACCCAGTATAGGAGCAGAGCAGTAGGACGTTAAAACCCATTTCATTTTGTATACTCGGAGTGTCTATATGATATAAGATTTAAGCATAACATGTATTAATACCTATTGCCTGGAGTGTGACTCTTAATAATTAGTTTTCATTGTTCTGATTACTAATGCTATTAACTATAGCGTGCCCCAGCTGGCGCGACAGATATTGCTCCACAATATAAAAAGCCTAGTTTAGAATTAGGAATAGAGAGACCGGAGACCTAGAGGTCTTCCGAGACCTCGGAGAGGCTCTGCCCTCGGATCCCGGGAGAATGAGGTCTTCTGAGACCTAGTAGGAGCAGCTGTATATAGACGTTATCATATCTAACCCAAATGACGTTCATATGTAGAATTGTACATGTAAACAAATATGTTATCCAGTATTAAAATATCCTTCTAATCAAAAAGAGTTATGTTTTCTATCACATATGTTTTCAAGACATATTTGTCGCATTTCTACGCTTTGCTATTTCGTATAACATAACATGTTGTCATTCAATCATGGTGGGATTTAGGTGATATAAAGATGATCATAACACTAACACCGAATCTGAAATCACAGTTTTTCACATTAAATGTGTAACATTTACGTTGAAGATAGACGCAGTGAATTACGTATTAAAGATACTATTTAAAGGAATGGCATGACTTACTTAAATCCGGGGGGGGGGGCACTGGTATAACGCGTGCACTTTATATCATAAGGTCTGTTGTTGGGTCAAGTGGCGATGTTTCGTGATAAGGTGTAGGGTCGCCTGTCCAGCCTCGTGGGTTTTCTCCGGGTCCTCTCACTGGTTTCCTCCCACTGAGTGGACGTTAAAACTCTCTCTCTCCCCCTCTCTCTCTCTTTTCTCTCGTCACTGATTTGAAATTGTATCGATACGAGTCCCCATCTTTTGTAGGTCAAATACTTTGTATCTGATAACAACATTGCTTACTTACTATAACCTGTACTATATAATACACAACACAAATAGATAAAAGACGTTAAAGAACTAGGCCTCTGAGATTTTGGTTTAAAAATTAGAGAAAATATTAAATTAATTTGATATAAAAATATCCTTTGCGAGTTGTGATATGGTTATCCTTTCACAATTAAAAACATACGTCTGTATAAGAAGACAATGCAGGGGCGGATCCCGGAATTTTTGCAGGAGGGGGTTTTCCAGGTTCCTGAGACAATGTATCCCCCTCCCCCTCCCGCATGGTCTCTATCGTCATTTTGGCGTATATACATACCCATTGAGCTTTTTAAACAGAGAAATTCACTACCTCGTTTGACGTCAATTTTTATTATGAATTAATACAATGACATTGTGATTCAATTTCATGGATGCAAAGCATTAATTGTGATATCACATAATGTCTATATCATTATCTCGTGCTTTGACTGCCCATCCTGTCCCACATCTGACGATAATGGATAAAGCACACGGCCCAGAAACTTTTCTCATAAAAAGTGTTGATTTACAAAAGATTATATGTAGCTGATCAGGGGGGGGGGGGGTCGACCCCCCAACCCCCTCTGGATCCGCCCTTGCAATGTTGAGACGACAGATTTTTTATTGAAGTAAAAAACTAGACTAGAATACGTGAAGCGAAATGAAACTTTAATTGAATAATTGCATAGCACGTGAGTGATTGAAATACATATCAACCCACGTCAAATGTGTTTTTAAACTTCGTTCAAACAGCTGTGCTCCTTTAAATGGGTGGTTACACATTGCCCAACACAAAGTGCGATTGTAGGCAGTAGTTAGAGACAGGTTTATTAAGTACTGACATGCAGACGACAGTTTATTATGCGCGGTAGCTATATTTCGGGCTGGATGGTCAAGACATATGTACCGGTTTATGAGAGAATAACACGTTATTGCTACATATCACCACAGAGTGCAATGTGAATCAGTTAAGTGGAAGGAACTGTTATGGATTCGCTTGCTTACCTTATTATAGTTGGGTTTATGACCATTATTATCATTCTTGGCCTTAACAAGATATTTTATGGAAAATTAACACAATCTAACAAGAAAACGGTTATAATCATGTCACGGTATCCAGTTGCAAATAAAACTAAAACACGTCTAATCCCAACGCTCGGATCTCAAGGTGCTGCAGAAATACAACATTATATGGTGGGTAATATTTACTTTAATATTTAGACCGAATACTGTCATTATACCCAGTGAGTCAGGAGGTACAAAAATGTCTTCCTGGTCTTACTTGCATGAGGAAAATATCAGAAAACATTGACATGATGTTTCTGCACAAGAAGTAGTTGTTAAGGGCTGTTAAGTTAAAAGTGCAAATATAAGGTTATTTTTAGCTTTGTAAGATATAAAATGAAGAGAAAGGGAGGGGGAACTCTTGCAGATGATAATATATGTGCGCCAACATCAAAGGATGACGTCACATCTGTATTTTAAATATGTTTGATATTGCAGATAGATATAAAATCAATCTTACGCTATTTGTCTACAATTAGCTCCTCTTTAGAACAGACACTTAGCTAGTTGGCCGACATTTTAGGTATATTTCGAGAATTTTGAAACGGAAAAGGTTTATGTAGTCTTTGTGTGTATAACAGATGTACATTCACCAATGTATCCCTGTATCGCTGTAATGAATTAAAAAAATATGATTTATATTTGGCGTGTGTCTTATAAATTTTTAATTTGAGAGCAAGATTTGGGATGTTAATCAGGGCATCGAGAGATGCTGCGGATTGAGATGTCTCAGTGGCCGCAGAATGGTTTGCCAGTCATTGTGCGCTATGTTCACACATTTGATTCCGGGGGCTCAGTGGGTATGGCGCTTGTCCAGTAACCAGGAGGTCTGGTGTTCGGCAAGAAAGTTTCTCGTGGGTGGATTTACCTGCCCGTTTTAACACTTGTTGGTGATACAGAATGGATGGCCTGTCGATGAAAAACGACTAGTCCTTCGGTTGGAAGAAAAAACTATAGTATATTATGCGCTATTGACAATGTCACGTCATGTCACGCCATGCTACACCAGATTACCCCCACTATCTAGATACACCATGAACTATTGAGTATAGTAACGTCTAATACCTATTAACGTGAAAATACCTGCTATTTTGAACTCTTAATAAAACCCGAAGTTATACTTCAAGGCCAATCTTTTTGATATTAGTTGTTAGTATGAGTCAAGGTCAAAGGTCACTGAGATACAAAAGTCACGTGATAGTAGGCTATAAATATCGAAATATTTCAACCGGAAGTAAACAAAATCGAAATTAAAAAATCGGCCCCCTTAGAATTGTTGCCACCTTGGCTGGCTTCAAAACATAAAAAAAAGTTTTTGAAAATAGGATTAAAAATGGCTGTTGAGTGTCGATTTGAAGGCTTTTTTGTAAAATCCAATAGGGCGGCCAAACGGTTGAAAATGTTATTGAACAAGGTCTCTGAAAATGAAAGACAATATCTGGGGCTAACACCACCATACGCCATTTTAGTCTATTTTTGAAATTTAGAGAACTATTTATGTCGGGAAAACTCGAAAGGCCTCGGAAATTTCCGGAAGCTGTTACAAAAAATGTGATAGGGCCTATGAAGGCACCAATGTGTTCCTTATTCCTACCGAGTTTCAACTTGATACCGCAGATATCAACGGAAATACGCCATCTTGAATGTCGACAAAAATGCTGTATAAAACTTTCGCAAATCTTTTATGCTAAAACTAATCGAGCGAAATTTCGAAAAACCATCGAAAGAATCCCGACGAAAATCCGTTGAGAAATAGCCTAGATATGGGCAATCTGAGATTATATTTTGTCCCATACGTGTTTACCGAAATAAGTAATAACTAAAACTGCGAAAATCAGTACTGACTTGTTTCGGTGAAATGCGTCAAGATTTATTACAATTATTCCAATTTCCACCAACAGAAGGGGGTTGGATGGCCGAATGGTTAGCACATGCGTGCTGTATCAAAAGGCCTGTCATTGAGTCAACTAGGTTGTTTCGAATCCCCGGTTGTACGTGACTAGGAGTAGGGTCGCCTGTCCAACCTCGTGTGTTTTGTCCGGGTCCTCCCACTGCTAAAGACCCCTAGGCGCAAGCGAATTATTGAAATAAAACTAAACCATATGTTAGTCCCAAAATGACCTAGTTTGTGTCGAGTGGACATTAAACCCCATTTCTCCCTACCAAGTCCCTGCACATGCACTAAATATAATTAAAGTTATCATAGAATTGTCTTCAAATGGCACGGTTGGACGTTTAGTCAAAATCAACACTATTTTATTTGATATCAGTGATCGAATGAAATGTTATTTCACATTGGCAGCACTTTAAAGAACCATCTGGCTGTTGGCAGTCAAAAAAATACCCCATAGTGCTGCCGCCTGGGCGAGATTTCCCTTATAGTACAATTGCATGGACAAAACTCGAATTTCTCTCGGTCTTCATTATGTAGCAGACAGTAGAGCTACTGCATATTATACGCTATCCACAACTTCGCCCCATGTTACGTCATATCACGTTTTGTTACGTCATGTCACGTGTTGTCAAAATTTCCCTCATAGCCAACTGCATGGCGTGTATGCCCGTCTTCATTAGCAAATTTTTTTTTTTTTTAAACCATATTTTTATTCAGGTTGACTGAATGGGATTGGGGAACAGGCTTAGCCTATGTAAAACCCCTCTCCCTAAATAATTTGTATATACATATATATTATTAATACAAAATACATAGTTAAAATGGCAAACACATACATATTATATAGATATAATAAAATGGGTGAAAATGTACAGTATATACAGTAGTTAATAATTATACATATGCAAGGACAGTAAGAATCTTTTAATAATAATCAGCATTAGAGAGACTATACATACATAAAAGAGAAGATAAACTATTATTTGATCGAGATGGGATTAGAATCTGTTTGATATATCTATAAATTTATGGACCTGATTAAAAATATTAGAATTAACATCAAGACTGTAGGCTGTGGAGCCGAATAAAAGACAGTTTATATTTTTAAAATCCTGTTGTAATTTGTCTATGGTTTCTGTTCGTGCAATTGAATGTAAGGAACATCGCAGGAGGTAATGATCGGGATCTTCAAATATATGACCGCAGAGGCATGCGGGACTGTCGGCAATATGTCGTAGGAATTTGTGATCCTGCAGGTCAGAGCATCGAAGTCGTAATTTACAATGGATTATTTGAGGTTTCTGCTGACCGTTATAATAAAACGAAGGAACTTTGATATCAGATTTCGCAGGGGTACTGAGTTTATTCCACTCCCTTATACTGGATGGGATAAATGATTTAGCAAAGATTTCAGTACGACAGCGAGTTCCTTTTAATTTGTCTTCGTTACGAAGGGAATATTTGTTTGCAGGTTCTAGATTTATGAGATTCTTAAGATAAGGAGGGGTTAGGTTATTGATGATTTTGTAAAGTAGTTTTAATTTATGTCGATTTCGTCTTTCTTTGAGTGGAATAAACCCAGTTTCTGCGTAGAGGGAAGCATGGCTAGTACCCTTAACTGCCCCACAAATAGTGCGTAGTGCGTCAGGCTGAAGGTATTCAAGATTATTACATAAGTAGTCAGTGCACCCGTCCCAGATAACATCGGCATAATCAAGGTGTGGCAGAATGAAGGAAGAATATAGGGTGTGTAGCGATTTTCTATTTAGACGATATTTCAAGGAGCGAAGACTGTTTACTAATTTTGATACTTTGCTAATTATGCTATCAATGTGGCCGTTCCATTTACAATTGCTTTGAAAGATAAGTCCGAGGTGTTTATGTTCAGTTACTTCCTTTATTCCTATTGAGTTCATTAGTAGGGGTGGTTCTACAATACTGCGTTTAGTTGTGAAGGTCAGAGTTTCTGTCTTGAGGGGGTTAAATGTCACTAGCCATGTTTCCGCCCATGTATTAATTGTTTCAAGATCTTTATTTAATGTAAGTGCGCATGCCTCTGGGTCGTCTATTTTCAGATACAGAGAGGTATCATCAGCAAAATGTCGGATGTTCGATTGTAAATTATTCACAATGTCATTTATATATAATAAAAATAATAATGGTCCCAATACGCCTCCCTGTGGGACACCAGCGGGAATACCCCTGGGGTCCGAGGATATTCCGTTTATGACAACACATTGTTATCGATTTTCAAGATAGTTCTTGAACCATGACAGCAGTCCTCCCCTGACCCCAGCAGCTTCCAGCTTATGACAGAGTCCGGCGTGCCAGACTCTGTCAAAAGCCTTGCTGATGTCACAAAACACGATCCTGGTATATTTGTCATGATCAATGGCTTGACAAAAGAAGTGATTTAGATCTATTAATTGGAAGATAGTTGAATCACCCGGAAGAAAGCCACTTTGAAGTGCTATTAGTATTGAATTGTCCTTGAAGAAGTTAAAGACGTGTTTATATATTATTTTCTCAAATTTTTTTTATAATAATGCTCAAGAGTGAAATGGGTCTGTAATTGCAGCAGTCGGTTAGATGTCCTTTTTGAAAATAGCCATGACATTTACAAATTTCCATAAGTTTGGGACAGTGTGTGTATCTAGTGAAAAACGAAAAAGTTGGCATAAGGGATTACTAATTTCATTAACGATATATTTTAAGATTTTTGAGCTTATTTCATCTGGACCTGAAGCTGTTGATGTATCTAGGCTATCTATTAAGTCCTTAACTTTTCCAGGGGTTGGTACAATCGAGTCTAAGCTATTAGTATTCATTTGGAGGTGTGGAAGAGTTTTGTTAGTACTTAACAGTTCAGTTTGTCGAAAGAAAAAATTATTAAGGGCATTGGCTTTATCGGTGGGCGTAAACATTGTATCATTTCCAACTGTTAGTGGCGGGGGCTCGTTTGAGGATACAGCCTGTGTCTTGGTGTATGCGTTTATTACATTCCACCATTTTTTAGTGCCAAAATTTTCTTTATCATTAATTTTTGTGTCAATTTTCTCAAAGTATGCTTTTTTGCATTTCCTTATCAGATTTATGTAGTCATTTCTTATTTTACGAAAATTTTGCCAATCAGTTTCCAAATTTCTTTTTACTGCTCTCTTATGTAATCTATTTTTTTTTCTTTTTTATTCTTCTAATGCTGTTATTCATCCAAAGTTTATCGTTTTGCCTAATT